CAGTGAGACTGGTTGTTTGGCAGGTTCTTCCCAACGTCAAGCCCCAATTTCTCTTCTTGGAATGCCTTCTGCACCTGCTTCAGGGGTACCTGGCCTAACACCCTGCCCACTGTCAGAGGCCACAGAGCAGGGCTCCCCATACCCTATGGCTATTTGGCCACCACCTCTCAGAGCCACACAGACCACACTGAAGGGATGGAAGGAGAACTCGGATTTGGTGAAGGGGCTGGTGAGGTCCAGTGGTAGTGGGAAGTGAGCTCTGGCCAACTGCAGGCATAGGCAGAGAGCCCCCTGTGTCCCAGACACTCCCTGGTGCCCTTGTAGCGGTTCACCATCTCAGCACCCACCTTTGATGTGAGGACAGAGGCTGGAGCTCCGGCAAGTACATGGGCCTCCAGGGCTAGCAGCTTGTTAACACCTGGAAACTTCCGGCAGCAGAGCCAGTCTGGCACCTGGTGGACCAAGTCTAATTCCCGAACTCAGAGGCAGCGCAACCAAGGGCATGGGCTCTACAGTCCCTAGGTTCAAGTTCAGTCCCAGCCCTGATGGCCCAGGGTCTCCTCTTCCTGCCTCCAGTTTTCTATCTGGAGAGCAGGGATCATTAAAATAGTTGTTGGGCAGATGCACTGAGACGGCCATGCACAGGCTGCCGTGAGCACCATGACCTCCGTGGTCCAGCACCCGGGCCTGCAGCTGCCTCTCCCTCCTGGATGAGCAGCTCAGAGGTCATAGGTGCCCCACTCCTGGCCGCCGCATCCTCCCTGCCCACGGCTCCCTGCATAGGTAGCATTTATCACATCACCTCATAATTATCTGCGGTGTCTGGGAGCTCCAGGGGGTGGCGGAGGAAGGCTGCGTCTTGCCCACACCCCGGCCCCCAGCCCAGCACATGGCTTGGTCTCCCGGAGAGCCGACATACTCCTATCTCCAGGTGTGTGTGTGAGGGTGCAACGCCCAAGCCCACCTGTCCACGGCTGCCATCCCCCACCCCGTGACCCTGCACAGGGCTAAGTGGATGCGCGGTTCCGCTAATGCCAAAACTGTCCCACACTCTCCATGCACACCCTGCTCAGCCTGCCTGGGCTTGTAGAAGCCCTGCCCCCACCCCCTTTTTCAGCATCTCTTTGGCCCCCTTCACTGAAACATCCTGTTGGCTGATGTTTCAGACGCCTTGGATTAACCAACAAGCCGGAACCTGAGCTAGGCAGCTACCCTCCCAGACCTCCACCGGCCATGTTAGCCAGGGCCTAGCCCTGGACAGCAGCGCACGCATCCTCACCGGCCCTGTCCAGCAGCCCCTACCTCTACACCCCCTCCTGCTCGCCAAACCTGAGCCCCCAGCCCCCCACACCGCCCCCTCTCACCTGGCAACTTTGCAGAGTCCCCAGCCGCTCTACTACTGCATCCCCAGTGCTCTGAGCACATCCCTCCCCCACTGAAAAACCCTTCAAAGGTTCACGTGGCCCTCCAGATAAATTCCTGTCAGCTGGGGCCTGCCCCTGCCTCTGTGTGATTCACCCACCGCCCTACTGCTGGGGCTCTTCCATCAGGCCCCAACTTCAACACCACCACCTCCTCATTGAAGCCCTCCTCTGTCTCCTGGTCTGATGTCTTCCTCGGCTCCCGCAGTGTCTGGAACCCCCATCACAGCTCCCCACCTCTGCTGTTCCTTTAACCTCCTGCGTCTTTGTCTCTGAAGTATCCACAGGGCCCAGTGATCATCACTAAATGTAAATATAATGGCTGTCAGGTGGGCTGGGTGGATTCGGCATGAAGCCACAGAAGATTGATTAGAGCCTACACATGCCACGTGCATGTGTGCTGGACGCTTTCCTTGCTGCGTCTAATCCTACACCTTTGCCAGATGGGCATTCTATTTTCCCCATTTTACAGAGGAGGAAACAGTTTTGCAGAAGCTACTGTAGTGGGCTGAATAGTTTCCCCCCAAATCCACACCCGCCTGGGAGCTCCGAATGGGACCCTATTTGGAAATAGAGTCTTTGTAGAAGTCATTAGTTAAGATGAGATCATCCTGGGTTAAGGTAGGCTCTAAATTCAATAAGGTAGGCTTCCTGTAAGAAGGGACACACAGACACAGTGAAGGAGGCCTTGTGGCCATGGAGGCAGAGATTGCAGTGAAGCAGCTACAAGCCAAGGAAGGCCGAGAACTGCTGGCCATCGCCAGAAGCTGGCAACGGGCAAAGAGAGATGTTTCCCGAGCACCTTCAGAGAGCACAGCCCTGCCAACACCTTGATTTCAGACTTCTGGCCTCCAGAACTGGGAGCGAATGCATTTCTGTCGTTTTAAGCCATTACCAAGTTTGTGGTAATTTGTTATGACAGCCACAGAAAACTAGTACCACTAACTACCTTGCCCGTGTTTATATACCCCAAAAGGGGGCAGGTCCAGGGGATTAGGAGCTGGGGCCTGAGCCTACACCTGTGACCCCCGTGGTGACTCCTAGCCCTGCAGGAAGCTCACAACCTATTCCTTAGAGCCAGGTCCAGGGGAAACTGTCTCCATAGACTGTCTGTCTGCTTCCTTCCTCCTAGTGAGTTCCGAATCCATCCTGCTTCCTTCTTTGCAGTGGCTGCCAGGGGGCTCAGTGGCACCTGGCTCCTTGCTGAGGTACCATCAGCCCTGGGCTTCCCTGCCTCCTCCTGGGCTTGAAATATCCCACTGGGTGGGTAGAGAAGACGCCCGAAGGTGGGACAGGTCCAGCTGCAGCGCCAGCAACAGCCCTCCACCCAACCTGCTGGGTCATCAGGACCCTGCTTCCCTGTCATTCCACCTGGGCCACCAGCTGTCGGTGCTACTTGTCTCCTGGAAGTTCCCACTTGGGGCCCAAGATGCCCCCAGCAGGGCCTGGGTTCCGTCCACTTGACTCTCTGGCTCCCAGGGGTGGTAAGGCTGCCCCGAGAACCCCTGAACCTCCACATCAGCCCTGGGGGCTGAGAGGGCAACACCACAGCCCTCCACCCACGGGGTCTCCCCAAACACAGCTCAGCGGCCCAGGGCAACTCCAGGCAGAGGGGCCAGCAGGCTTTAGTTAAGCATACATGGAGGCCGGCCAGTGGAGGGACAATGCTACCATTCCTGAGGGCACAGCTCTGTCTCTGGGGTCCCCTGTCCCAATCAGGTTAGGCCAGAAAGAGTCAACCTCGCCACCCCTCACAGGAGGCTGAGGGAGGCCCATGCAGGGATTTCGGCCCAGATGCCACCCCTCCCTCCTTTCCTGGAAAATGTTCTCCAGGAATCTCTCAGCCAAGGACACAGAGGGTGGGGCAGGGGTTGAGGGGTGGGGCTGGGGAGCAGTTCTCCACTTTCCATGGGACTCCAAGCTCTGGGCATACTCCCTCTGCCGCTGCCTGACGGCCCCCCTTCATGACATCCAGGCTCAGCCCTCCCTTGCCTTCCCCCCGCCCCCACCCCGCCCCCACCCCGCCCCCTCCCCCAACCTCAGCCTTCTCGCTTTTGAGGGGACAATGTCCAGACCTGGCTCAGCCTCTGGAAGGATATGGTCACGATCTGGGAATCATCCCAGCTCTGGCTCCAGCCCTGAGATTGGGGTGGGGGAGGTCTTACCAGCCTGCCAGCTCTGGGTAGGGGTCTGCGAGGCCCCTGGGGCAATGGGGCTGCTGCTGAAGTCTCTGGCCCAGTTTAGTGACAGCAGCACCTTGGCCCCGGAGGAAGGCAGGCCAGGAAGTCATGCAGGTTTGCCAGGGAGGAAACCTGTGGTGCCAAGGTGGCCCCAGGACAAAGCTGGCTACATAGCAGCGAAGGGAGGTGTCTGGGTCCAGTCGCAGATGGCAGGAAAGAAGGGGCTCCAGGATAGGAAGGCCCCAGGAACAGGCCCAATGGGGGCACCCAAGAAGGCAACGACAAGGGCTGGGGTTCAGTGAGTGGTCAGGCCCTCTGCCTTGTCTCAGGGGCTCAGCCCCAGGGCACCACAGAGCCCAGCACTCTGTCTTGGACAGTCTTGTGGGGGGGGGGCAATTCTTAACTCAGAAGAAGGAGCCTAACTCTGCCCTCACTTACTACAGGCCCTCGGACAGCCTCTCCTCCCCCTATCGCTGTCCATGCTCAACCCCCCGGGCACCCGTGCCTAGCTACACTGTCCTCCCAGGCTGGACACACCCTCCTTGCTGTGGAGGTCAGGGTCTGGAGCCTAGTGCCCCAAATGCCCCCTACCCTGGGAATGTGAGGGGCCCAGAGCTGGGTGGGGGGTGCTATAAGGGGCAGCAAGCCTCCAACAAAGACCCCTCCAGCTAGTGGGTTCCTGGCTCAAACCTGGTCCCTGGAGTAGCCAGCCCCCACCCCACACACCTTCCCCACTTCCGTCACGGGGAAGACTGAAGCAGGGGCAGGTGCGGCTGGCCTGCTGCCAGCCTGCCCAGAGCCAGGCTGAGATGGTTAACCAGCAACCCCCATCCCATTTATCTCCCAGGTGGCTGGCAGAGGAGACCGGCCTGCCCAAGTCTGCCCCCAGCCAAGCAGGGAGGGGTGATAAACATTTGTCAACTCAGAAGTGTCCACGCAGGGCGGACAGGTCAGATGCTACAATTGCTCGCTGCGGCTGGGGCGGGGGAGATTCTGAAAGCAGGCGCTGACACTGTCTAAAGCCGGCAAACGGCAGCGGAACACCCACCCATCCCGCCCTGACTGCAAGTCCAGGGCTCTTTGCCCCGCCAAAGCGACTGTTCCACAATCAGCACGGAGGCTCGGAGCCTTTAAAGGCGCCGAGCGCCACCTCGTCCCGGCGGCTCCAGTTCCTGGCGACAGGGCTCGAGCCAGGTCTAGCGCGGGCGAGGGCCTCCTCCAGCGACACCCCCAAACCGGGTGTGGGAGCTCCGGGGCCCCCAGCAGGAACCCTCCTCCCTTCCTCCGCCTCGGCCCTGCCGGGGCGCGCAGCCTCGGATCCCGCGCTCCCCGCCCGGAGCATCCCGGGCGGGGCCAGGGGCGGGGCGCAAGCGGCCCTGCCTCCCGCCGGCTCGGCGCCCGCCGCGCGGCGGCCATGGGGGCGCGGCTGGGCCGGCGGCCCGAGCCCGAAGCGGGCTCGGAGGCTGGGGCGGCGGCGGGGTGCGGGCCGGCGCCCTATGAGCGCCGGGTGCGCTGGCTCCGCGAGATCCAGTCGACGATCCGCGAGCGGCGGCCGGAGCGCGCCCGGCAGCTGCTGCGCCTCCTGCGCCAGGTGAGAGAAGCAGCCAAGCAGCCGGCCGGCCGGCCGGGGCTGGAGGCCGAGGAGGGGCCGGGAGGAGATGCGGAGCTGGCCTCGGGCGCGCGGGCCGGGCGGGTTCCGAGGGGAGGGGACGACTGGCCTCAGGGGTGGGTGTCTTGTCTGGGCCGGAGGGCGAGGGAGGGAAGGCAGTCAGCTAGAGTTGTGGGGTCGGGGGGACTGTGAGTGTGGAGGGGGTCCCATGACTGTACGCGTCTCTGGGGTTTGAGGTCAGTTGTGGGTGTTGAGGGTGCTCCCAAGCCTGGAGCTAAGAGTCCACATTCAGGCCCTTACAAGAAAGGAGGGCGGCTGGGAAGAGGGCAGGTGGGGGTGAATCATCTTGTATTGAGGGGCAATGGGAAGAGGATGGTTCCCGCCTCCAGGGTGAAGGGAGGCGCTGCACTGGACCCCGAAGCAAGGACCTGGGGAAGCGACAGCCCAGCTGGTCAGTGGGTGCAACCTCTCCACGTCAGCTCAGACAAAGCCACAGCACACAATGCCCATCCTCCTAACGGGCAGCTCTCGCCCATTGAGTACACACACCTGGCATCTGTTCATCACAACATCACATCACAACGGGTGGGGGCTCTGGTTCCACAAACACCAGGTACCTGAGTCCCATATCCCTAGCCCTGGGTTGCCTTAAAAGACATGGGTTCTGATCCCAGCATCACCACTGAGCAAGCCACTCCTCTCTCTGCCCACATCCCTGTACCCTGCAGCGGCTGCCACCACAATCGGCCCCATCCTGTAAGCCGAAATCAGCTGTGCCGGTGGTCTTTGACCTGCAGGTGGATGATTGGGAAACTGAGGCTTGGAGAAAAGCAGTGAGCCTAGGGCCACAGAGCAAATTGGGGGCCAGCCAAGGCCAGAGCTCACCCTCCAGTCTCCCAGCTCTGCTCCTTCTGCTGCACTGGGTTTCCTTTCTCTGGGCTCAGCAGGCTGGAAAGGTGGGGCTGGCCCTTTAAGAGGAGCCGTCCACATCAGCAGGAGGCAGGCTTTGGTCTGGGACCCTGACTGGGTCAGCCCAGGCTCACCAGCCATCCTTCCCTTCTACTGGATCCTCCCTAGCTGTCATCTCCAACTTGAGCCGTGTTTAAAATGCAAACAACAGAGCAGCACAAATCAGCGAGAGACTATTCAGAGGCACGATCTCTGTTCAGCCTGGCATCTGCAGCCCAAGGCACCAGCTGGAAATTTTAGCTGGGGAACAAGCTAGGTTGCCCACTGGTGTCCCAAAGGTTGGAATTTGAGGCCCGCCTGTCCTGCCCCATAACCTTCAGGGACTCTGCAGTTATGAACCTTGGTCATTCTGGCCTGGCCTGGCCTCCTGTGCCCTGCCTGGGCTTATACACAGAACATGTTACTCTCTGGCTTGGGGAGGGTCCACATGGGGTCTCGAGGCCCCTCCTGGCTGTGCCTGTCTCGTCAGCTTGTCGGCATATCCTCTAAACGGACCCCCGAAAAGGCACCACACCAGGCCTATGGGAATAACAGGAGGAAGAGGCCAAGGGGTGAAGGCAGGAAGGCCAGGGCAGGCCAGGGACCTGATGATGGGATCTGTGTGAGGGGTGGGAGGATTGGAGGCTGGACAGGAAGGCTGGTGGGCGAGAGAGGGTGTGAAGGCCAGGCCACAGGGAGTTCTGAGACTGCAGGCTGTGTGCGAGTCTCTGCCATCACACAACCTTGAGAGCATTTGGTTTCCACTGAAGGGGTTAGGGGTCAAGTGTGTGTTTCACAGAGCTGGCTCTGGCAGCATTAGGGTGGACTGGAAGGGTATCAGGAGGCCGGGAGCCCCGGGAGGAGGCTGTGAGGGGATGAGGCCTGAAGCTCCTTGAGCAGTGGGCTTGGGGTGGGGAGAGCTGGGCAGAGGAGGGATGAGGGAAGAGTGCGGGGTGATTCCTGGGCTCTGGCCCAAGTGCCTGGGAAGATGGGATGGTGGCACCCTTTACTGAGCTGGGGCACAGGAGGCGAGACACACCCAGTCTGAGTTGCCTTTGGGTCGTATGAGCTGAGAGAGAGAGAGTTCCACCCTGACAGGAAGGGTCTGGACCCGTCAGCAAAGAGGTGGCGGCCATAGCTTAGGAGAGCTCGGGGATAGGTGGGTAGAGGCAGGGGCCCCAAAGGGAATGAGGAGGGCAGGGGCATTTGGGGATCATCAAGGAGCCCCCAGAGAATACCCCAGACAAGCCCAATCCCAGAGGAGCCAAGGGGTCTCAGCAGAACGTTTCACCTCCAGGGAACCAGTCTAAGGGTTCCTGGACCCACTTACCGCCTCCCCGAGGCCCCTGATGCACCGACCCTCTGCTCATCCAAAGGGTCCACCTGCCCCGGACAGTTTGCTCATCGCTGTTGTGGGGAGGGCTCCAGCAAGCCTCAGAGGGGAAATGGAGAGAGGGGAACGGATGTGAGAGCCTCTGGCTGGCTGGGATGGGGGCTAGGGGAGGGAGGCCTCGACCCCTGGCTCACTCCACTCTCACTGCCTGCAGGACCTGGGCCTCGAGGGGACCCTCCTCACAGACGTCCTCTACAGGAATGTGGCCTTCCTCAATCTGGTGGACCCCATCTCCCACGACCTGCTTGTGAACCTGGCCCGGGACCTGCAGTGCCCCAAGTCGGTGAGGCACGGGCCCCAGGCTGGGTAGTGTGGTTGACAGGCCAGAAGAGCCCAGAGCTGGGAGCTAGGATCTGGGCCCTCACCTGGTCTGCTGCGTGGCCTTAGGCGGGTCACTGTCCCTCTCTGGGACCTGATGCCAGTTTCAGTGTATGAGGCTGGCCAGCAGCTGGAGCACACGGGAACTCTGCTTTCCCAGCCCTGGAAAGTCATCTGTTGGGTAGACCCGTTTCCTCTTTTCTTTTTTTGGCCCTGCAGCACGGCATCCAGTATTTTAGTTCCCCAACCAGGAATTAAACCTGTGCCCCCTGCAGTGGAAGCACAGAGCCCTAACCACTGGACCGCCAGGGAATTCCCTAGACCCGTTTCCTGAATTTCAGCACTGTACACCAGGCCCTGGGACCCAGGCAGGTAGTCGTATGGGGACCCTTCGGGGTATTGGACATTCTGACAAATCCATTGATGGAACCAGGCTCCCAGCCCCTGAGTCCCAGAGCCAGAAGAGAGCTCCCTTGGCTAGAACCCCTGTCCACATGTTCCCACTGCGTCCCACAGCAACTCAGCCACAAGCATATCCCTCCTCGTGTTGAGCTGGCACCTGCCACCTGCAGCCTCAACTCCCCTCCTGCCACCGCGTCTGCCCAGAACACCTGTCCCCACCTGCTATGTCGGCACCTGCGGACGTCCTGCCATAAGCATGGAAGGTGCCGCACTCCTGACACAGCCTGTGGCCAGCCCCCGGCCCCCGGCCCTTTGTCACAGTGAGCCCCCGTGTGAAACAGGAATGCCCACTCTGGGCTCTGCCAGCTCTGAACTGCCACGCCCAGGTGCACTTGTCACTGAGGGGTCTGTGAGGCTAGCCTAGAGCCATTGCAGTGACCCCTGGGGCTTGCTGCCACTGTGTGTGCCCGCTGTTAACAGAGGGACTGGATAAAAGAATGTGCTGGGTGGTGGAGCGTGCTTGGTGCCAGCTTGTGGAAAGCAGTCCACCCCACATCCTGCCTGAGCTGGGCCTCTGCAAGGGTCCACTTGGGAGCCAGAGAGAGCCAGGTGGTAGTGCTGGAAAATGGTAACCCTCCCTGCTGGCCGCCCAGACCCAGGCCCCACGGGTGCGGTCTCGCTTGGAGAGTGAGAGGAAGAAGAGCGTGCTGACCTGGCTTGTTCCTATTCCCTGGGGGTGGCGTCAGTGGAGCAGGGCTCCCTGGAGAGGCCTGGTCCTGCCTCCCCCTGTGGTGAGTCCCAGGGGGGCACCGAGGGTAGACAGGGAGCCAGTGGCTGATAGCCCGAGACTCTGGCCCAGGGCCTGAGGACAGGGAACAAGGGCCCATTGTCTGGGCTTCCTCCCACCGGGCACCACGGGCCTCGGACCAGCCTGTCCAGCTCCCAGTGGGCAGCCTCCCCTGGCTCTGTGCCAGGCCACGGGGCAGGGGGGCGGGGGTGGAGGGGGAAAACCAGTGGGCGGCTCAGTGATCCGTGATGAATGCCTGTGCGCATGCACACACTTGGGTCCCCAAGGCCCGGGGGCTCACAGGGCTCCGCCTCCACTGACAGCGCTGCCCCCGCAGGACTATGAGCTCTGGGAGTCCTCGGACAAGACCTGCCGGCAGCTCATCTACCACCTCACCCCTCACTCCAAGCGGCAGCAGGGGTCCAGCCTGCCCCGAAGGAAGACCCAGAGCTGGTAAGGGAGCCCAGACACAGCCCAGCTGCCTGGCCCCTGGGGGGGGTCCCTTCCCAGGCCTCTGTCAACAAAAGCTGGGGCCTGAAATCCCACCCTGCAGGCCCTCACCCTTGGCTGCATCACTGCCCGTCACTGGCCGGTGGCAGTGCAGGCGGATGCTCCCCAAGGCCAGCTCCTCTCCGTGTGACTGCCTCCTGCCATCTGCCTGTCCCTCAACGCCCCACCTATCACAGGGCCTGGCCCCCCTGGGGGCCTCAGCTGGAGTCAGCAGAGTCCCCAGGACAGGCTGGGAGGGAGGTGGAGTCTGGGTCATGATTCCCATTTTCCAGGGAAGGAAACTGAGGCCAGGGGAGGCAGAGTGTCTTGCCCAAGGCCACACTGCCCTGCTTCCTGAAGCCCTTTGGGGACTCTTTGCCAGGCTGCCTGAAGCTGAGGCCTCCAAGGCCAGCCCAGCAGCTCACTCTGCAACGTGGTCCCCGTTAGTCACTCCATCACAACCTCGTGGCCACAGACTCAGCCTGGGAACAGGCCACTGGCACCTGGGCCCCGGTGCTCTCCCCTGCTTGCCCCCCAGCCTCCTGCCCCCTCCCTCAGGCCTCGTGGCCCATGCTGAGCCTGGAGCCCATGGGCTTGTTCCCTGCCTTGGCAGGTGAGGGCCCTGGAGGTGTTCCCACTGCTGTCAGTCCCCAGGCAGGCCTATGTTCAAATGACAGGAGAGAACTAGAGGAGGTTCTGGGGGCAGTGGGGGACCCTCCTCAGTCTCTAAACCTCCCTTCCAGCTTAGGACACAGGGAGCCCTCCCCTAGGGCAGATCCCACCCACATCCCCCAACATGGCCCTCTTGCTTACCCTGGGCCTGTTCCCACATCTATCCTTATTCCAAAAGGGTCAACCTTAGAGGAGGCACGTGAAAAAAAAGCATGGGCTCAGGGGTCAGAACACCCCGATTTGGAGACCTGGCTCCCCCTTAGTGGTGTGTGACTGTGGAAGGGTCGCGTCACCCCTCCAAGCACCCGCTTGCTCCTCTGCAGAAGGATAATCATTCCCACCCCACTGAGTTGGCATAAAAATAAGAGACAACAGATGTAGCAGGTGTGGTGATGCAAGCACACAGAGGGTTTTTATAACAGCTCATGGAGCCTTAACGCAAGTGCATCTAATCCTCACAGCCAGGTCGCCTCTTAACCAAAGGGGACTAAGGCTCAGAGCGATTCAGAGCATTGCCCGTGGCCACTCATCTAGGAAGTGGCCATCTGCAGGGCCTGGGCCTTGCTGCCCTGACGGAGGGGTCACTGTCTGAGGCAGGTGGGGCCCTTGCTCAGTCCCTCCCCACCCTCGACCCTCCCGCAGCCTCAAGAGCAACCTCCAGAAGACTCTGCCGGCGGGGGAGACCGTGAACCTGTCGGGGATACCACTGTCGGTGCGGGACGTGCAGCATGTCATGCGCTACCTGGGCAGCCAGGGCGCCAGGCTGGCAGTGCTGGACCTGAGCTTCACGGGGCTGAGTGATGAGCTGCTGCACCGGCTGCTGCCCAGCCTCTGGACGCTGCCCCGCCTCACCCAGCTTCTGCTCAACGGCAACCGGCTGACGCGGGCTGCCGCCCGTGAGCTCACTGAGGCCATCAAGGACACCACCAAGTTCCCGGTGCTGGCCTGGGTGGACCTGGGCAACAACGTGGATGTGGCCTCCCTGCCCCAGCCCCTGCTGGTTGGCCTGCGCCGGCGGCTAAGCCAGCGCACCTCGCTGCCCACCATCTACGAGAGCCTGGACCCAGAGCCTGAGGGTGGCATGGCCGGGGCCACGGACCTTGCCTCCACCTGGGGCTCTGCAGCTGCCGGGCCAGGGCCCGAGCCCCAGGCCTGCTGCACCAGGTGACCCGCCACCCGCCCTGGCTCCTGCTTCCTGACTGGCAACGCACCCGAGCACGTGGGAGGGGGTGATGGAGGCGGAGTTACCCCACAGGACCCGGATCCAGTGCACAGAGGAGGATGGGCTCATTGGAGACTGGATGGTCGGTCCAGGCTGGAGTCTCAGCCTTCCCTCAGCAGGAGGGGCCCAGCACCTACTGTGCAGACCCCACAATAAAGGCTGATGCCACCTCCACCTCAGCCTTTCTGCATTGTGGGCCTCAGGGGCACTGAGCACCAGCCCTGTGGCTGGGTTTGGGAGAAGGGGTGGCTGGGACTCAGGGGCCCTGCCTGCCCAAAAGGGAGGGACCAAGCTCACACTGATCTCCCCTGGGTGCTCCCTGGGCAGGGTTCCCACGGAAACCAAAGAAGGGGGGAGGGTCCGTCTGTGGTCGGGGAGTTAGAGGAAGCCTCCAGAGACCTGGCACTCACGTCTGGGCGGTGCTTGGGCACTTTGAGGAAGGAGCTGGGGAGGAGCAGGTTGGGAGCCCAGAGAGGAGCGCAGGCTGCTGACCTCCCCACCAGGGCCCCCTGGGCTGGGCACGAGACTGTGCTGACAGGGGGCAAGGCTCATTTCCCACAGGGCACAGCACTGCCCACCAGCCCTGGTACCCACCCCCCAGGCCTCCTGTACTTGGCGAGTGGGCAACTCCATGGGGTTGGGGAGGAGAGACATCAGGCCAGAGACAAAGAGCTCTGTGTTCCCTCCAGGCCCTGGGGGCCCACATGCAGAGTCCTCCCCCCATGCGGGACCCCAAGGGAGCATGCAGGGGTGAGGTGGGCACGGCCCACAGCAGTGGGGGGCCCCGGGGGAGAGCAGTACTGGAGCTGCCCCAGCAGGGGGCCGTCTCCTGTCTTCCGCAAGCAGCATAAGGGCAGGCTCCAGACCAGACGCTAGTCACCTCCCAGCCCAGTGTGGGGAGCTGTCGGGTGGACTGAGGCTGCAGCAGGGAAGCCATGGCCCAAGGCTCCCCTGCAGCACTGAGGTCAGGACTAGGGTAGCTGGATCCTGCAGGATGAGGAGAGACCCAGCAGCGGAGGGAGCCCCACAGGCCAAGGAGAAGGTGGGGGTCCTCCGGGCCCACATCCCGGGGCCCACCAGCTGCCCTTCCCCCATAGCTCTGGCCCACAGGGGACTGTGAGTCAGCACTGACTACACACATCCCCAGGCAGCCGGATGCACAACAGCCTCTTGCGACAGAAGGGAGATGGCCAAGAAGGGTGACGTCGGTCCCAGGACCGACAAGAGGCAGTGAGGAAAAGGAGCTCCTCTCCTGCGCTGCCTGCCAGCCCCGAGGTCAGGCCCCGCCGCTCTCACTGCTTTTGGCGGAACCCCTATCGGGAGAAAGCCAGAAAGGCATGAAGAGCACCTGGTTCAGCCCAGCTCTGCTCCCTCTCCGGCCCCCGGTCTCTCCTCTCCTCTGTCCACCATCCCTTCCAGCTCTCAGTGCTCCATCCTGGGGTCCTGGCCCCTCCCTGGCCTCCTTGCTTTAAAGACATGAGCCTGCCCAGTGGCTTGGGAGCCACAGAAGTATCTCCCTGTGTCCCCCGCTCTGGGACAGGGGGCTCAGGCTCCCCAGGAGAAGGCAAAGCGGGTGGGGGTAGAAGGGGCCACAGAGAGGAGAAGGATGAGGAAGCCGGCCCAGGGCCAGGCAAGCTGATATGCCCGTGTCCTGCAGCTCCCGGCTGGAGAAACGCCAAGCTGTCTGTGTCCCTCCTGCCCCTCGCTCCCTGCCCATCCCTGGCCCTCATCTGCCCACAAACCTTGAATGTGACGAACATGACCACTCAAAGAGATTCTTACCAGGATGGTGTGAGGACCTTGGCCGGGTGTTGCCAGGCGAGTTCTGGGAGAATCCAGGCGGAGGCAGCTGTTCTCAATCTCCCCGCCTCTCAGATGCATGCACGCGATGCACTGGCTGGGCTGGAGCATGAAACAGCTGGAGAGAGGTGGGCTGCCCTTGTTCCCACGCAGGTGTCCAGGGCCCCTTCGAGGGGCCCTTACGACCACCAGTGAGGCTACTATGCAGGCAGGGACACCCCAGAAGTCACGCAGCCTGGTGGGCAGAGCGTGCCCTCCAGGCCGGCCCCAGCCCGAGTTCCAGACCAAGGAGGCGCTAGGTGGGCGTCGCTTGGGCCGGTCCTCTCCTAGGCCCAGTCTCAGAGGCAGACAGACCTGGCCTGGTCCCACCCTGTCACCTGCTGGTGGTGTGGTCCCCTCGGGGTCTGTTCCCTCATCTTGGGAACGAGGCTCACGAAGCCTCCCCTTATCCTGCTGGAGTGAGGCTGACAGAAGGATTGGAAAGTGCCTGCTGCGTGGGGGGCACAGGGCAGATGCTCTGTAGCATCAGTGGGGCCTCCACCCAGGGCTCTCTGGGTGGGAATGGCAGGAGCCCAAACCTCGGGACTAGACAGGGCTGAAGCCATTTATTTATTTAAGAGTGCTTCTGTAGCCTCTCTCGGGGCCAAGCACTGTTCCGATGGCTTTACACCCTTTTAATTCTCTTTGCACTTGCAGGAGGTGAGTGCTATTACCACCTCCATTTTGCAGGTGAGTGAGCTGAATCAGGGAGAGGTTGAGTAACCTGTCCAAGGTCAAAGGGCTAGAACTGGAGATGCCGAGAAGTGAGCCAGGTGGCCTGGCTTCAGTCTGGGATGCTAACCCCTGCCTGCCTCACCCAAATTCCTGCCAGGGGAATTCCACCAAGCCCTGCCAGAGGCCATTCGAGGCAGGAGACATCACGGTGGCCCCGCTGGCAGGTGCCCTGCAGCGGAGAGCGACCTCCAGCTGCACTGTCCTGGAACAAGACCAGGCAGGACCTCCCTGGCCTCCATTTCCCCATGTGCAAAATGGGTGGGGAGGGGAGCCCTCTTCTGGGATGGAAAGGGACTGGTGAGGAGTGGGGTTGGAAGTACTTGTCAGACTGAGCCCCACTCTGGGGTGTGGGATCCACGCCCACTTCCGGTGGCCTGGGACAGCTGCAGGTGAGGTGCCTTCACCTCCTCAGGTCTTGCCAGGATGTTGAGAGCATCAAAAGGAAAGATGTAGAAAAGAGGACTGTTCTCTGCAGGACCTCGGTGACCAACACTTGGGAACTTCTGTTCTGTTCCTGAAGGGAGGACATTTGAGTCCAGATAAAGTTCTTTAAGATATGAGTCTACAGCAAAGGTCAGCCTCTGCAGACAGTCTTTTTGAGAATCCAGAATCTCAGATGACTGATCTTCCCAGTGGCTGATATTAACCCAGCACAGAGGTTTTTCTCTAGGTCCTGGAGAGAAAGGAAAACATACTTCTTCCTCTTAGAGATAGTTGCCAACCAACAATGGAAAGCAGTATTTCCTTTCCCAGCTGTATACTTTAATTTTATTTTTTAAAAATAATACCAGGAGTTCCCTGGTGGTCTATGGTTAGGATTCAGCACTTACACTGCCGGGGCCCAGGTTCAATCCCTCGTCCAGGAACTGAGATCCTGCAAGCCATGTGCCGCGGCCAAATAATAACAACAACAATAATGATAACTACCTTATTTAAAAAACAATTCTTCGTTGTCGTACAACTAAAATACAATTAAGTACACTTCCCTGGTGGTCCAGTGGTTAAGACTCGGTGCTTCCACTGCAGGGACTCGGGTTTGATCCCTGGTCGGGGAAGTTCCACATGCCACGCAGTACAGCAAAAAAAATAAATAAATAACATTAAAAAAAACCCAATTAAGTGGACATCCCAAGTGTTACAAGTTGAAATTGTGCTACATGGCGCATTCTGACTTGTGTATAAATCCATGAAGTAAACGTATCTGTCACACCCAAAAGTCTCCTTGTGCCCCTTGGCAATGTCTCCCTCCCACTGTCCCTTTCCTCTCCTTCCCCAAGCAACAACTGACCTGCTTTCTGTCTCTATAGATTAGCGTGCATTTTCTAGTTTTAGATATATGGAATCATACAGGGTGTACTCTTTTGTATATGACTTCTCTCACTTAGCATAACTGAGACTCCCACAGTGATGCATGTATCGATAGTCCCTTTTAATTGCCGAGTAGCATTCTACTGGATGGATGTACCACAATTCACTCACCTGTTGGTGGACATTTGTGTTGTTTCCAGTGTTTCGCTATTACAAATAAAACTGCTATGAATATCATGTACAAGTTTTTGCATGAACAGATATTTCCTTTTCTCTTGGGTAGTGATATCTCAGTATGTTTTTCTCTTCTTGTAATATCTTTGCCCGGTTTTGGTGTCAGGGTAATGCTGGTCTCATAGAATGAGCTGAGGTGAGACGTATTCCCTTCTCTTAAATTTTTTGGGAACGGTTTGTGTAAAATTGATATTATTTCCTCCTTAAATATTTGATAGAATTCCTCAGTGAAGGCACACAAGCCTAAGGTTTTCTTTGTGGGAAGGTTTTCAACTACAATTCCAATTTCTTTAATAAATGTAGGGCTTTTCAGGTTAGCTATTACTTCTTGAGAGAGTGTTTGTATTTTGGATCTTTCAAGGAATTTGTCCATTTCATCTAAGTTGTGGAATTTGTTGACATGAAGTTGTTCATAACATTCTCTCTCTCTTTTTTTTGGATGTGCCGCACAGCTTGCAGGATCTCAGTTCCTTGACCAGGTATTGAACCCAGGCCCTTGGCAGTGAAAGCGCAGAGTCCTAACCACCGGACTGCCAGGGAATTCCCTGTAACATTCTCTTTTAATATCTGTGGAATCTGTAGCAGTCACCACTCTCATCCCTGAGATTGGTAATTTTGTCTTCCTCTTTTTTCCCCCCCATCGCCTGAGCAGTCTGGCTAGAGATTTATCAATTTTATTGATCTTGTTAAAGAATCATCTTTTGGTTTCACTGATTATTCTCTATAGTTTTCTATTTCATTGATACCCACTTAGATCCTTACTTGTTTTCTTCCACTTACTTCAAATTTCTTTTTCTAGATTATTTGGGGGTGGGGGCAGCTTGTGGGATCTTAGTTCTCCAACCATGGATTGAACCCAGGCAGCAGCAGTGAAAGCACAGATTCCTAACCACTGGACCGCCAGGGAATTCCCTCTAGATTTTTTTTTTTTTTTTTGGCTGCGTTGTGTCTTGCTGCGCGCGGGCTTTCTCTAATTGTGGTGAGCCGGGACTACTCTTCGTTGCGGTGCGCGGGTTTCTCATTGCAGTGGCTTCTCTAGTTGCCGTGCACGGGCTCTAGGCAC